GCAGTGAGGATCAGAGTAGAGAGGGATCTCCAATGACGATTCAGAGTAGAGAGGGATCTGCAGTGAGGATCAGAGTAGAGAGGGATCTCCAATGACGATTCAGAGTAGAGAGGGATCTGCAGTGAGGATCAGAGTAGAGAGGGATCTCCAATGACGATTCAGAGTGGAGAGGGATCTGCAGTGAGGACCAGAGTAGAGAGGGATCTCCAATGAGGATTCAGAGTGGAGAGGGATCTGCAATGCCAGAGAGGGATCTGCAACGAGGAATTGAGAGTAGAGAGTGATCTGCAATGAGGATTCAGAGAGGATTCCGAGTTCAATTTCAGTTCAGAGAACGCTCCACACGAGAGCTGTCAAGCAACAAGAAGTGGGCATAGATTTTGTAATGGTGACCACTTGGGAGCGTCCCGCAGCAGCAGGACCTACTAAGCCTAACAAAACAATTTGCTGTGCTGTGCCGCGTGGCCCTACACTTATGTGGGTGTAGCTAAACTATTTACTCGCCTGGGTGCACAATGAATCGTTCACGGATTCTTGTGTGAATGAACATTGTACGCTACGAATGAATGACATGCACTTGTTGTCTTTTTGTCGAAGCATGTCTCTGCCGAGAATCTTCGACGGCGTACTGTGTAGAAGGTGCAGCGGACTAGCCAATGTCCTCAGTGCAAACGTTAGACCCTAGACGGTTAGTATAAGAACGTATAGGTTTTAACGCATTTGCAACACAGCTAGGTCATATCGGCGTCTTCTAGTTTTAGTAAGAGTTTTACGGCACCTGAAACACAGTAAGGTAATAGATGTGCTGAAGAATAGACTATGTGTTACAAGAGAGTAACATACACAAAAAAGAAGGAGGGGAGATAAGAACAGATGTTTGATGGGAAAGGGGGAGCAAACCACACCAGAGCTCCCGCCAACCACCCACAAATCGGCGTCTATGACTAAAGGTGTTACTACAGAACAACATAATATGAACAAAAGAAGGAGGAGAGATAAAGACGAGAGATGTTTGATTGGAATGAAAGAGTAAACCACACCAGAGCGCCCGCAAACCATCCACCGAATCAGACTGGTGGTAAAAAGGGGGGAAAATCGCACAAAACAAGCAAGACATAGACAGCTTAACATCAAAGAAGCAACGGGGGAATGCAGACCGACAATAATGTTCTTTAAACAGAGGAACGATGTTGCCAAGCCCTTTCATTGCCTTGAAGAGGACCGGCCTGGGCTGTTAAATAGGACTTTATTAGAGTAAAAATAATGGTGGTGAAGAGACGTTTTGGCATGGTGGTGTTGGACCGAAGAAGTGCATTTGTATGTATGTATGTATGTATGTCGTATGTGTGTGCGCTGGTGTGGATCGATGAGGTGCACTTGTGTGTACATGTGTGCGCTCGGAGGTTTGGGCATATGTCTGCGTATGTATGCGTGTGTTTGTGTATTTTTGTTAGTTTAGTTTATGTGTGTATGTGTGTGTGTCTATGTGTGTGTGTG